ACGTCCATTTGCTTAGTTTTGTAAAGATACACCTTCTTCAATAACAACTGCAATGATACTGTCCAATTCGGTTGTGAAAATTTTCAAATAAATATAATTTTTTTATATGACAAACAAACATTTTTGATTATCAATTCCATGGTTCAAAAGTTTTTTTTTAGATTAAGCTGTATATTTTTGTTGTTGTTGTTTCTTTTTCTAAGTGCAGTAATGTCAAATAAAGCCTCTATCTTTAATTCATAATTGGCCGCAATTTGAATATTCATGCACACTGACATGTGAAACTTAAAATTCGCCATTGCCTAATGCTGTCAACAACAAATCGAAAATACATTAATTTTGAATTTGAAAAAAAAAACACACACACACATACACAATTCACAGCATAAATATTCGGTTAGATGGAGGTGGGATTTACCTGATGAAACCCCCTTTTCTGGACAAACAAAAAAACATATTTTTACATTTTTTTGAAATTCAGTTTTGGAACACATTTCATGTGTATCTATAAGTGCAAAAATCTAAACTGTTCCAACTTTTTTTCGATTTGCAGTCATATTATTCGAATGTGGCTTCTGCCATGGTATGGAGGCTATGCTATGATCGATATAAGTTACGCTATAAATCATGGATGGAAACCAATTATAACCAATGAAAGGAAAGTTGTGTGGAAGAAAAAAATCTTCGGCTTACCGTTTACATATCTGACGAAAATGTATATGGGATTTATATCTAAATCTCAACCGATTTTAATATACACACATAATTTTAAACTCAATTCAATGACCTCTGTCAAATTTCGTGTAAATCGAACAAACATAGGCTCTCTGGTACCACAATTACATAAAATCAAATGAAAATATATCCGGGAGCTATATCCAAACCGATTCCAACAAAATTCCGCGTTCTATTCTATATTCAGGATATTGTACATATGAGCATCTCTTGTATGTACCCAAAGTGGTGAAGAGTATCATATACAGGGTTGCCCATATTCGACGGGCCCATGTTTTTTTTTTTTAATCAAAGAAAAAATAACCAGTGAGCGGAGCAGTATAGTCGGACGGGGCCGACCATACGATACCCTACACAACTACCACGGAACTCAAATTTTCTGCGGATGTTTATTCCGAGCCTGGACAATAGTTCGTGATATTTGCACCCTCTTGCCCGATTAGAGGTAAACAGCACCTCTTCCTCAAACTGACATATTTTCCGAATATTACGAGTATTCAATACAGCTATTGTCCAGATTCCCTTCACCATGGGTTGCATTGTGATGTTCGGCTTTCATTTGTGGTCTATAGATCGACTCGAAAATAACACAAAAAATTAAGTTTTTGGTCCACTTCATTCCAAAATTATTATCAGATCATCGCCGAAAATGATAGGCGTTGTTCTTGACCATACCCGGAACCTCATGGAACGCGATCAGCGTTATAGTTCCGCTCTCTAGAGTGATAATGGGTTTCTAAATAATATACGAATACGGAGATACCTGTAAATATTTAGTTGTAACTCCCACATCCGAGCACATACATCCGAGCACATACAACAACCACTCCTCTTGGATATAATATCAATTTCTCGGGTCTATGTCCTTCAGTGGTAAATATATATGCTATAGAATACAAATTTTGTACTTTTTCACACAAAAGTCAGGGTCCATTTGACCCGCTAAACATTGACCGATCTTTATCAAAACAGGCATGCTCATTTTTTGGCCCGATCCCCTTCTCCATGCAAAATTTCACGAAGTTCGTGCCATTATTACGGCCTCTGGAGCGACCAGAAAAACCGAAAAAATTAGTATTTGGTCCATTTCATCCCCTAAATATTAACCGATCTTTCCCAAAAACAATAGGGATCTTCATTGGCCAGAACCCATCCTATATGCAAAATTTCGTGAAAATTGGTCCATAACTGTGGCCTGTATCGTGTTTACAAATTATAATGGACAGACGGACGGACGGACGGACACACATGTCTAGATCGACTCAGCTAGTCGAGATATGACGATCGTCTTCATTGGCCAGAACCCATCCTATATGCAAAATTTCGTGAAAATTGGTCCATAACTGTGGCCTGTATCGTGTTTACAAATTATAATGGACAGACGGACGGACACGCATGTCTAGATCGACTCAGCTAGTCGAGATATGACGATCGGTATACTTAAAGGTGGGTCTAGGACCAATATTTCGCGGTGTTACAAAATTTTGGGGCTGCACAAAGCTATAATACCCTGACAACATAGTTGTGTAGGGTATAAAAATTTTGCGGTTGGCAATGTAAATCATTTAATTTGTTCCAAGTAGATTTGTTTACATCAATTTTTGAATATGATATCTCTCAAATGGCCGCCTCTGGCGTTGATGACGTATTGTGCCCTTTTTGCTGCATTTTCCATCGTTTTAGCCAACATTTCGGCCGGAATAGCGTCTATTTCTTTACGAATGTTGTCCTTGAGCTCTTCTACGGTCCTTGGCTTGTTAACGTAAACCTTTGACTTCAAATATCCCCACAAGAAGAAGTCAGGCGGCGTCAAATCGGGCGAACGCGGTACGGTGGCCAGTCCAAATCACTCTTTTCGACATCAAACGGCCCGGAAACAAATTCTTCAGAAAATCGATTGTTATACGACTTGTTTGCAGTGGAGCGCCGTCTTGTTGAAACCAGAACTGCCTCATACGCTTTCGACAAATAATTAGCATCACAAAATTATCGCGATAACGCTCCTGATTGATGGTAACAGCATGGCCATTTTCATTTTGGAAGAAAAACGGCCCAATGAACGTTTTCGCACTAACGCCGCACCAAACTGTGACTTTTTCCTCATGAAAAGGCACTTCTTGAATCTCCTGAGGATTTTCAGTGGCGTAAAAACGGCAATTTTGCTTATTTACGGTCCCATTCAATGTGAAATGTGCTTCATCGGACATGATAATTTTGTTCCAAAATTGCTCGTCATCTTCGGCCATTTCGATGACTCTTTGGGCCCATTCCAATCGACGAGGCTTGTCCGCAGGCAACATTCTTTGCGTCAATTGAATTTTGTACGGGAACAAATGCAGCCATGCCCAACTGCTGAGAACGGCTTTTTTGGGATGTTCTTGGGGACCTCTCAACACTGGCTCGTACGGCAGCGATATTCTCGGCCGATCACCTTGGTCGACTTTTATATGGCCTCTTCGGATTAGAAAGAGCCTTACCAGTCGAAAATTTTTCGAATAAACGCTTAATGGTGTTCTTAGACGGCGCACTTCTCACATTTTTAATTTTTTAAAAGCACGTTGAGTTTTCACAATTGACTTCTTCTGTTGAATGTAAATTTCAACTATTCCAGAGCGTGATGTGTATTGGTTCATGGTAAAAATCTGCTTGGACTGACGCTTCAAACGCGGTATGTCATTAAGCGATGTGACATCTTTGTCAAAAGTTATGGCGTTGCCAGATGGGTCCGTCGAATATGGGCAACCCTGTAGTCGGCCCCGTCCGTCTTTTAAGCTTTCCTTACCGGTTTTTAGTACAGAGATTTTTGGGGTACCGTTATATGGGGGCTACCCTCAAACTTGGTTCAATATAAATCATATTTAGGACAATGAAACCAAAAATACCAACTTACAGCCAAATTGATTAAAAAAACGTTTCCAAAATCCCTGAAACATGAGTCAATAGCAATAATTATTGCTATATTTCCAGTCGATTTCACTCTTAGAGTAAAGACTTCCTCTTTTTGAACATTTTGTCCGCGTTCTTATTTTTCGAAAAGGGAAACTCGGAACATTTTGTCAGTGTTCTTATTTTTCGAAAAGGGAAACTCGGGAGCTCTCCCGCCGAAAACAAATAATAACAATGTTGTGTATGATTGTAAATAATGTAAAAAATATTAAAAAATAAATTTAATTAATTTAATTTCGAGCAATTTCTTTACAAAATAAAAATTCTTTCAGAATGAGGTAATTTTGACCGATTTTAGGCAATATAGGTATATACAAAATTCCAGTCTTTATAGTGTTAACACCCTGACAACATAGTTGTGATGGGTATAAAAAGGGACTTTGGTGCACCATTTACATTAAATCGGAGATATATCGAAATCTGAAGCGATTTTCTCGAAACTAAACCCACATCATTCTAGACTCAATTCAGTACACACATTTCGTGCAAATAGAGGGATATATAGGGACTGTGGTGCACCATTTACATTATATCGGATCAGAATATATATGGGAGCTATATCTAAATATGAACCGATTTGCACGAAACTGAGCACACATCATTTTAGACTCAATTTAGTACACCATGCTAAAGTTCGTGCAAATGGGAGCTATAATAAAATCTGAACCGATTTTCACCAATTTAAATATGGTTCGTCCTAGGGTCAAATAAAAGGGCTGCACTAATTTTGCTAAAAAAATAAATACATAAATAAATAAAATTTCGAGTTATATCTGTCTCTCTTTCGAATAAATTATATTAACGTGTTTGCCATAATACGATCTATTTTTGATAAATATTTCAAAAAATATCTTTTGGCTGTATTTACATTACGGTTCAAAAACAAGGACGAAAAGGAGACTCAAGAACTCGAGATAGAAGGATGATATGCCTTACAAAAATTTTCCTCATTCGATTTGACTGAAGACATGTCATCTCAAAAATAACCTGCAATAGTCCCATACAAATCCTTCATGCACTTAAGAGTTACCAGCAAAAAATTCAACACGGCATAACTCAAAAACTTTACCTATGGACAATTGTTCCTTTTTGCTTCTTAATATACTCACCAAGGGCTTATCCAACCTCCCGACAATGAATTCGATATTTTTCATAGTGTCATATCTACAGCAATTATATGTTCCTCTATATAAAATTAAGTAAATATATAAAAAGTTACCTAAATTTTAAAAATTTTCTTTTGTTTTATGTTTTTATTTTATTGCCCATGTATCTTGCACACACCTAATCACAGAATAAAGTTTTATTTGTCAGCTGTTTTAATGACCATAGTGACCATGATATTCAGCACCTTTGGTAGAATCGCCATGGGCCTGACCAATATTATGCACGGTGGCCTCGAAACCTTTCTTCTTATCAGAGGTATAGTTAACAATACGTGTTGTACCATCGGATTCCTTCAATGAGTAGCTACCTATGATTTAAAAGAAAACAAAAATATTAAATTTAAAGCAAATCAAAAAAAAATGTGATCAAATATTACCTTCAACTTTATCGCCATGTCGCGACTCCCATTGTTCTTTAATATCACCAGTTTTCGAATCTTCAACACCATATGCAAATTCGTATTTAGGATGAGAGTTGTATTCGGCATGATCATCATCATGTCCATGACCATTGCCAGCATGATAATGTTCATCATGTTGGTTATATCCTCCATGTTCGCCATGTGCACCACCGTTCTTATCATCGTGTTTGGTTACAATGGCATAACTGGTAGCCTCTGCATTATGTTCGCTTCCATGGCCATCAAATTGGTGTTTGTATGGCAGAGGTCCTGCCATAGTTAGCGCAATACAAATTGCCAAAAATGTTAAGACATTTATAAAACTCATAGTGGCTGGATTTTTCTAAGGTGAATTTTAAGGGGTGATGGAAGTTTAATGTGAAACTGTTATTGAATTGAAATTTCGTGGTGGTTTTTATATTCGAACCATATTATTACAGCAATTTAACTGACCATGAATACTTCGGCAATGACCTTGAAAACAGGCTACACCCATAAAATATTAAATGTAAATAGTAAAACCATTGCTACTATTGTGTTAGGTTTGAGTATAAAACAAGCAACGAAAAATCAAGACCAATATCAGTTATCCACAATACATTCGAGTTGATTTAGTTAAAGTTTCCAAAATCTTCAATATGTGTTCCACAATTTCAATGTTCGCTTTTTTGGCTATTTGCATCGCCTTAACTATGGCAGGACCTCTTCCCCACAAGGAGCACGATGGTGGTCATGGACAGGCTACCAGTTATGCTGTTGTAACCAAACATAATGATAACGAAGTTGTTAAATATGACAATCATGCCGAATCTCATGGATATACCCAACAAGTCGAATATCATGGTAGTAATGATGATTATCACGGACACGATGATCATCACGGGCATGGAGGTGAACATGATGGAGATTATAACAGCCATCCTAAATATGAATTTGCATATGGCGTTGAAGACAAAAAGACCGGTGATATTAAAGAGCAATGGGAATCCAGAGATGGTGACAAAGTTAAGGGTAAGATTTTACCCTTTAATAATTTATAAACGTTAAAATTAATTGTTTTATTTATTTTAATTTCAGGTAGCTATTCTCTGAAGGAATCCGATGGTACAACACGTTTGGTAACATATACTTCGGATAAGAAAACTGGTTTTGAGGCAACGGTTCATAAAATTGGTCAAGCCAGCCATGATTCTACGGATGCCGAATATTCTCATAAACATGTTTACTAAAAATATGCGGTTTCGAATTTCGATTGCTTTTGGAAAAGAGCGGGTTCAATGTGATAAATATGATAAAATAATATATTATGAATAAAATATAATTATACCAATTTCCATAATTTGTCTATGTAAGCTGTTTATTTTAACCGAACATATGATACGCTGCTCATGATAAATATAGTATATTACGAATGAATACATTCCCAAAAACTAAATCCCTTATGAGGACTCTTCACTATTCTCGAATTCAAATTTAATGATAATACACTTACCTCAACATGTGTTACAAAAACCGGATATTGGTCGGAACTTTTATATTGAGGCGAAAACCACGTTGCAGTTACTTAGGTTGGCAAATTCGGCTTGGACCGCCAACATACCGAAAATAGGGAGAATTGTGCATTTTTTTGTTATGACCTATCTCACCCTCCATACCGAAAATAGGGAGAATTGTGCATTTTTTTTTTTGTTATGACCCATCTCACCCTCCGATAAACTATAAATACATATCTGACTCTGGTATAAACAAGGATTATTGACATCGCCCGAATATTAGCAAAACGGCGAACCTAGGAAAATTACTTTTTGGAAAATCGACAATTTTTGACTAGAATTCAAGCTAAAAAAAACACAAAGAAAAATCTAAAAAGACATTAAAATGAAATAAAAATAAAAAGATCAATTATTTTAAACCGATAATTGGGGAGTTCCCATTGACCAAACATGTTATTTACCCTCCAAGAACCGATAATACCTAATTCAGCAACTTTGCTTAGAAAATACAGACGATGTACCAAAACAGAGAACGAAGTAACCCACCTTCAATACTTACCAGTGAGCGGATCAGTATTGTCGGAGGCGGCCGACCATACAATACCTTTTATAATTACCACGAAAATCTAACATTCTGTGGATGTTTATTCCAAGCCTGGGCAATATTTCCTGATATTTGCACCCTCTTTCGCGATTTGAGGTCAACAGCAACTCTTCTTAACAATTAATTGACCAGTTTCTCTTCGCCGTAGTGTTGTGATGTTCGGCTTATAATTGTGTCCTATACATCGGTCCTAAAAAACACAAAAATTCTGCCTACTTCATTCTAAATTATTAGCTGATCATCGCCGAAAATTACAGGCGTTGTCCTTGACCATAACTTGGAACCTCATGTAATTTTCAAAGCGATCAGCTCTATATTTCTTCCCTCTTGTGTGATAATGGGTTACTAAATAAGTTATGTAAGCACCTGTAAATATTTAAGTGTAACTCCCACATCTGAGTACATTTGAAAACATAATTGGTATCATTTTAAAGATAAACCACTCCTCTTTGATATACTATAAACTTCTCGGGTCTATATCCTTCAGGTATAAATGTTATAAACGTATTAGCCATAATAAAATTTATTCATTGGAAATATTTCAGACGGATCCGACAGTTTCCCTTAATATAAGGATTTTGGTAAAAATGGAAAAGGATGATGAAAACATTGTAATAAGTATCGGGTGTCGAGGTTGTGGAGTGCTATTGAAATATATTCAAATGAAATCTATGGCCTTGCACGCATATTTATCCAGCCTTATTGCTCGTCGTATTGGGGGGATCTTGCCTAAAATGCATTTGTCCACAAAAACTACAAGTTTATTTTATCAATGCGTGATAATTCAGAAGAAGATAGGAATAGAAGAAATAAGATACAATAGTTAAAGATAGTCTATTATATTCCAGACAGGAAGCTAGAAAAAAATTCTCACCACAGTATGTGAAAACATCATGCATAGTTGGTAGCTGCATGATATGCCCACCCATCCTGTTTACCATACAATCCAATATATTAATGTAAATGAGAATGCATTTTAGTGTTCTAATAATATAACTGCATTCCGAACATTAGAGTTACCAGAGAAAAAAAATCATCACACCATAACTGAAAAATTTGACCTCTGGCGAATTTGTCTCTCTGGGTTCGTAATATACTCGCCGGGGACTTTCTTCGGCATTGAGATTTTCCAACCCCAAAAATCTTGTTGCACTGTGTAATATTCTCGTACTATATATGGGCAATATTGCCAATTTTTTAACATAGCTGAAGCGGAGGTTCACACCTTTATAACTCGGGAACTACTTAAGTATATGAAAAAAAGTGAATAGTTTTGGGTTAATTGATCTGTCGTTGCAAACTGCTCATGATATTGACCTCCAAACTTTATTTTAGTGGAAGCTGTGTCTACTTTAATGTAAAAAAATGTGTAAAAACAGGTTGAGGCGAACCAGTTTTTTTATGTTCTCTATCGATTTGTGACTAAGCCACTCATTGCACGGCCTTCGTGTCAAAATAAAACTAGAAGCCAACAAAATGGGGACTAAGCCCCTTATGTATCATTTTTCAAAATTTTAACTGCATCTACCTTTAAATGATGCTGACATTTTGAAGCTCGATTTTGAGTGTTTTTTGAATTTTAGTTCTAGCATTAATACGCGAACAGGAATTTCTAAAAATCGATTATACGATTATTGTAGTCGCGAATCTGCGTAATTTGATATGTATTTTGTGTATGTGCATGCTACAGCTTCAGAGTAATACTCATCCGAAGGTGCGAATTTTGTGCGATCAAATTTCTAAAAAACCTATTTTTCGGGCCAAATTTTTAGATCTGTCAACTGAATGATATGGGTACCCGCGATCAATAAGGTTTTTTCCGTTTCGGATGATATAAAATCTTCTTCGTGAAAATCCATCTACTAGAACGGCGGGAACTGGCCTTCCAAAAACACGAAATTTGGCAAAAAATGTTTTTGAAAATATCGCGGATTTATTTGCGTTTTCTGTGTATCATTTCCGCTTCAATAAATGACCTCATACGGATTTTGATCTTTTTCGAAAAGAGAACTTTAAAAACTTCAGCCGAAAGAGAGATGTACGCAATTTATCTCAAAAATAGATTGTGATGGCACATCCATGGTTCTTAATGGACCACATTGAAATCGGTATAGATCGATGTATTTTTATAGGGTGCACACCGAAATCGGATGCGCGTTAATGACATATGGAGTTTTCGGAAATTATTCGCGTTTTACGGTTTTTTGGGTACTTCAATGTAACGTGCGGCACATCTTAGCCGTCAAATGAAATTTCGCAAAATATATATGGATTGGAAGATAAACTTCAGTACTTCCTGGAAACCGCATGCGCATCAAATGATTTTGAGAATTACGCGATGTAGACGCAATTTATCTCAAAAATAGTGTGAGCTGGCACATCCATGGTTCTTAATGGACCACATTGAAATCGGTACAGATCGATGAATTTTTTTTGGGTGCACACTGAAATCGGTTGCGCGTTAATGACTTATGGAGTTTTCGGAAATTATTCGCGTTTTACGGTTTTTTGGGTACTTCAATTTAACGTGCGGCACATCTTAGCCGTCAAATGAAATTTCGCAAAATATATATGGATTGGAAGATAAACTTCAGTACTTCCTGGAAACCGCATGCGCATCAAATGATTTTGAGAATTACGCGTCTTAGACGCAATTTAAAATGTATATTTCATAATATTATTTTATTTTAAGATTTATTCCTATTTATAGAACCCTAAGATTTATCGGAAGGGTCTTGATATAATCCGCAAGGCGTATACTTATACACAAAAAGTGATTATTATTATATATGTCAATTTTTCAGCGAAATTCGGGTAAAATAGCAGAATAACCCCAACATTTTTTTCTGAAATTTTTTGTATACAATTAAAAAAATAAATGTGATGACATTATTTTTTCGAACCAAAAACAAATAATTTTTCTCAGTATCTTGTTTTGTTGTCGCTGTGATTTACAAACAGCTACACGGACTTGTGTGATTTTGATATCATTTGATTCACCATGGTGTTTAGATTATGTAGATATTTTTAAATTAATTTTTAGGTGTGTGTATGTCATTAATATAATGAAAATATTTACGTAATCTCCTATATTTTCATTATTTTTCTCATATTTCGCGAAGATCTGCAACTTTTTCGCGATTTTTATAATATATTCATATTCTTATTTTACGGAGGAAGATATATATCAACGTTTTTGGTCAATATAATAAACGGCGCAATTTTAAGATTTTTTTCTTATGCCCAAAATTAAAACCTCGATAACTTTTGCGCGCATCAACCAAAAATTTGATCGCGAACGGTTTCGGAGTCAGAACATTTTTCTCTATATGTGTACCAAAAATCATTGATGTGCCACAAAAACAAAAAAACTGATTTTTTGAAAATGGAATATTAAAAAATTGGCAATATTGCCCATATATGTCTGTCATAGAAAACATTAGACCAGGTAGAAAACATTAGGTAGGTAGACCATTAATTCGTTTGCCTGAAGTCTTCGCAGAAATTAGAAAAGCGAAAAATATACGACGAATCAATATACACCGGTAAAACGCTTGCTTTCGCACATCTTCTCAAACCAGCGTCTTTTTCACCGGTCATTGATGGGTCATCCGCCCTGTATTGGATCACATGATATTTTTTATTCCTTCACATCGAGAAAATCATACATGTTCAACAATTCCCGTGAACATAAGAGGTCTGAAGAAGCGTATAAGGTCAATATTTTATGCCTGTCTAATTCAGTGTGCAAAAAGTGCTTCGACAATTGATGACATAGAAAGAGTTTTAACCAACGCCATTGGGCAATCCAAATTTTATATCAAAAACAAAACTCTCAAGTTGTGGATTTAAACATTTATATTTTTACATTATGAGAAAGTATTGTAATGCTGATATTTAATTCTACAAACACTTCATTCCAAATATAAAATTTAATAGTAAATATTGCATTTTTAATAACCATGTTTATGAGAATATTCAGCATCCGAGTAATCATGGCTGGCTTCACCAATTTTATGAACCGTTGCCTCGAAACCTGTCTTCTTATCGGAAGTATATGTTACCAACCGAGTTGTGCCATCCGATTCCTTAAGGGAATAGCTACCTGCAATTGAAATCAAATAATTAATTTTACATTTATAAATTATTCAATGGCTCTTTAAAATCTTACCCTTCACTTTGTCACCATCTCTGGATTCCCATTGTTCTTTGATATCACCAGTTTTGTGGTCTTCCACACCATATGCAAATTCATATTTAGGATGTCTGTTATAATCTCCATTATGTTCACCTCCATGTCCGTAATGATCATCGTGGCCATGATAACCATCATTACCACCATGATATTTGACTTGTTCGGCAAATCCATGATCGTCGTATTTAACAACTTCGTTATCATTATGTTGGGTTACAACGGCATAACTGGTAGCCTGTCCATGACCACCATTGTGCTCCTTGTGGGGAAGAGGTCCTGCCACAGTTAAGGCAATGCAAATAGCCAAGAAGGCAAACATTGAAATTGTAGAGCACATTTGGAAACTTTAACTAAATCAACTCGAATGTATTGTAGATAAATGATATTGAATTTGAATTTTCGTTGGTTATTTTATACTCTAACTACTCACAGTAGAAGAAAAATGTTAAAATTTACTTTTTATATTTTTATGGGTGTAGCCTGTTTTCAAGGTCATTGCCAAAGTATTTATGACAGTTAAATTACTTTAAATCTGAGAAACACAAATATAAAAGAAAATCAAATGTTTTTCTACTTTATTGGTCAAAATAGAACTACATTTTTTCACAAACTTTGAATTTTATATTTTATGGGTTACCATGAATGACCTTGCAACAAATTGCTTTTTTCCAGATTGTCTCTGAAATATTGCTAATAGTTTTTTGTATACCTTAATGAAATAATAAGTGAACATTATTTATTTTCTTTTATCACGCTTGATTAATGTACTATGTACTGTCCTGATTTTCTCGTTCGCTTTAATCAATATTTATATTTTGTCAATGACCCTAATTTCATAATATACAATCATTTACAAAATTTTAAACTAATTTTTTTTTTCGAAATGCAATTGCAGTGTATAATCGAACTACAGTATAAAAACCACAACAAAATTTAAACTATGTATCAGTTTCCCATTAAACTTTCATCGTCTTAAAATTCGCAAACAAAAATCTGGACACCATGCGTTTTATAACTTTATTTTCCTGTTTGACAATTTGCATTGCCCTAACTATGGCAGGACCTCTTCCCTACAAACATCAAAATGGTGGACATGGAAGCGAAAACAATGGCGAGGCTACCAGTTATGCAATTGTAACCAAACACGATGATAAGTCTGAAGAAAAAGGATATAATTACCATGCCGAAAATCATTATGGTAGCAATGATCATTACGGCCATGGAGATGAACATGTTGATTATCACAGCCATCCTAAATATGAATTTGCATATGGTGTTGAAGATAAGAAAACTGGCGATATCAAGGAACAATGGGAATCCCGAGATGGTGATAATGTTAAGGGTAATTATTGATTAATTTTGTGTTAATAAAAATAATATAAGATTTGTTTTTGTAATTACAGGTAGCTATTCTTTAAAGGAATCCGATGGAACAACTCGTGTTGTTAACTACACATCTGATAAGAAGAAGGGATTCGAGGCCACCGTGCATAATATTGGTCAAGCTCATGGTGACTCTTCCAAGGGAGCTGAATATCATGATCATTATGGCTATTAAAAATATTTAATAGTATTTTTTATTAAATTAGTTGATTTATGAAATAAGACATGGATAACATGTACAAATAAAGAAACAAAAATGTATACGTTTATTATTTTTTTCTTATTATTTATACATTACACAACTATGTTGTAAGGGTATAGCTTTGTGGGCCGCAAGAGTTTGTAACGCCGCAAAATATTGGAACTCTTAGTATACCGATCGTCATATCTCGACTAGCTGAGTCGATCTGGACATGTGTGTCCATCCATTCGTCCGTCTGTCCATTATAATTTGTACACACGAAATAAGTCACTGTTACAGCCCAATCGCCAATAAATTTTGCATGTAGGACGTGTTCTGGCCACAGAAGACCCCTAATGATCGGTTAATATTTAAGGGATGAAATTAACCAACATTTTTTGTCTGTTCCTCTGGACGCTCTAGAGGCTATAATTTTGACCGAAATACAAAGAAAGGGGTATGACTATGGAATACGCATTATTGTTTTGATCAAGATCGGTCAAAATTTAAAGAGTAAAATCGAATTTAATGGAAAATTGTTTGTATTCTATATCGTATATGTTTTCTCCTAAAGAACATAGACCCAAATAGTTGACAGGATATCCAAGAGGAGTGATTGACCTTTAAATTCAGGGACAACATCTACGAATGTCGGTGTGATCAGATGATATTTAGGAGGTGGAATGAAACACAAAATGTTTCTGTATTCCTTTTACGCTCACTGTTTTTTATAAATAAGTGAGTTTTGTAGTAGTTTTTGTACCGTACAATTAAGTGAAAAAAAACAAAAATAGAAAGGTAACAACATAGATGCACGATGGCTGTGGCTTCCAAATAATATGTATATACGTTTAATCAGATGTTTAAAAAATCGGGTTAATTATCTGTAAATGGGGTTGAAAATTTAGGAGTCGGGATCTGTCCCTTGCAAATAATGTTATTGAAGGTTTTGGCATCTCTATTTATGGCAAATATTTAAGAAGAATCCGAGAGTTTTTGAGCAATAATCGGGTAAAAGCGGATCAATATGATGTAAACATACGAATATCGATTTCTCGTCTTTGATAACCAAATCAAAAAACTTTGAGAGACATTTTTGTAGAATATTTCGAGGTAAATAAATCTTGTCTTTTGGTATTTATTTTACAGTAGAAGGGGGATATGTTTTACAAAAAAATATTCCTCATTCGAATTGACTGAAGACATGCCATCTGAAAACGAACCTGCAATAGCCGCAAATAAAGATATAAAGTTGTTGCTTCGTGAACATTAGAGTAACCAGCAAAAAATTCAGCACGTCATAACTCTAAAACATGTCCTATGTCGAATTTGTCCTTCTGGTTTTCGGTAACGTTTTTCAACGGAATTGCTACTAATTATACCCTACATAACTATGTTGTCAGGGTATTATAGCTTTGTGCAGCCACAAGGGTTTGTAACGCCGTGAAATATTGGTCCTAGACCAACCTTTAAGTATACCGATCGTCATATCTCGACTAGCTGAGTCGATCTAGACATGTGTGTCCGTCCGTCTGTCCATTATAATTTGTAAACACGATACAGGCCACAGTAATGGTCCAATCTTCACGAAATTGCATGTAGGATGGGTTCATGCCAATGAAGACCCCTATTGTTTTTTTTTTTGTAAAGATCGGATAATATTTAGGGGATGAAATGGACCAAATACTAAATTTTTGTCGGTTTTTCTGGTCGTTTCAGAGGCCGCAATAATGGCCCCAACATCGTGAAATTTTACATGGAGAAGGGGATCGGGCGAAAAAATGAGAATGACTGTTTTGATAAAGATCGGTCAATATTTAGCGAGTCAAATGGACCCCGACTTTTGGGCGAAAAATTACAAAATTTGTATTTTATGGCGTATATATTTACTCCTCCATAGTATATCCAAGAGGAATGGCTGAACTTTATATTGATACCAATTTTATTTTCGTATGTTCTCGGATGTGAGAGTTCTTACGTATTCAGACAATATTTAACAAACCATTACCACACTGGAGGGCGAAAATGTAGCGTTGAGCGCTTTGAAATTTTCCATAAGGTTCCAGCTATGGTCAAGGACAACGCCTATAATTTTCGGTGATGATCAGATAAATATTTTGGGATGAAGTGGGCCTTAAAAAATATTTTTTGTGTTTTTTCAATTGGATCTATAGGCCACAACCACACGGTGAAGGGAATATGGGTAAGTAATTAGAAGGACTATACTGAATATTAGTAAAATTCGGAAAATATGTCAGATTAAGGAAAATGTGATGTTGATATCTAATCGGACAAGAGGGTGCAACTATCATAAAATTTTGCCGAGGCTCGTAATAAAAATCCGCAGAAAGTTAGAGTTCCGTGGTAGTTGTTTAGGGTATCGTATGGTCGGCCCCGTCCGACTATACTGCTCCGTTCACTAGTTATATTTATTTATTTATTTTTGTACATACATCAAATAAAGCTTTCAAGGTTATTCATTAAATTGTTCATTTTTAATAGCCATGATAATCATGATATTCGGCAGCCTTGTGATCCGCATTAGCTACTCCCAGTTTATGCACTGTAGCCTCGAAACCTTTTTTCTTATCGGATGTATAGTTGACA